GCCAGAGCAGGTGGGGTCCCAAAGGGGCTACCTATTTAAGTTATAATATTTTTCGCTCCCTTAACCTAGACAAGAACCGTCTCTGATATTCCCCTTTTCGAAGAAGTATAGCTCCGAAAAAATTTTTCGAATTGAACTTTTTTCCTAGAATATATAATCTGAAAACTACAGATTAATCTAACACTCACTCTATATTCTACTCACCACATCATGTCTGCTATTACAACCAAGTTCGTCACAGACTACAAACTCACCAATGAGATGAGTCTCGAAGAGCTTAGCCAATATGCGCCAGAAATACTTGAGCTCTTAACAACTGGCACACTACTAGTAGATAAAGAGAAAAGGTGCTAGACCCATAATCGCCTTCAAAAAAGGTATGAATTTAGCAAAGAACAAGCATTTGCATTGATTCCTCACGAGAGAATTGGACAGAGTAAAAGCCAAGTAACTTCCAAAGAAGGAGGGGATGTGAATATATGCTTAGCATCTGATACCACTCTAGAAGGGGAGACTATCAAACAAACGGCTCAGCGTATTATGAAAGATAAACTTGGTGAAAAAGATGTAAAGACAATATCTAGAACCTTAGTCGAAACATCTTCTGATGCCGTTGTTGCCTTATCCCGCCTCTCTAGGCTTCGAAAAGAATTACGGCCCCTCAACGCTTCAGAAAAAATAATTTCTGCTACATTAAATCCGGAGGTAACTAGGTTATCCAATAAAGTTCAAAAGGAGTATAGTGAGCAACGCAAAAATGAAGGAATAGATTTTCCAGACCACTTCTCGTTAGAATCGGTCAAGAAAAGATTAGATGAGTACAATGTATCTAATATACCTGACAAACAGGCCCTAGCTGATGTAATGATAATGCTCTGCATTCGTCCTGCTGAAATTAAAAACTTGTGTATATCTAATGGGGCTGTAACTGGATATGCAAAAAACCGAGATCAACAAGATATTCCTCAAGTGTTTAGATCACTGGAAAAGAACGAGGAGCGGGCTAAACAACTCCTTACTTGGATTCAGGATAATATTTGTTCTGAACAGTTAAAGGACCCAGGAAAGCTTGGATCTACATACTTAAGTGGGTTTCTAAAAAAAGACAAATTTATTCCTGAAAGTGATAAACCACTACTTCCTAGCTCTTTGCACAAATTAGAAGCAGTATTTGCTTCTGTAGTGCATGGGCCTAAAAATGCATCGAAGGCTAATACTTATGCCAGTGAAGCCCTTCGACATTCGCCTGACAATCATGCTTCTCCATCTAAGAGATATACTATAGTTAATATGCGGAAAAGAGGAGAACCTTATAATCAGGCAAGTCCATTCTACATCTTCGATGAAAACTAATAATAAATTTTCTTGAAAGGTGGGTTAGATGTTGTTTATTAAATTTATTTTTTTGTTCACCCAAGATATTGTATATATAAAATATCACGAAAATGACAACCGATCAAAAGCACTCATCTGATAGTGCACCCAGCGAGCAGGATGCTAGTAGACGTATTGAGAAAATAATCCAGTTATTTGGGCAAGATGAGCAGAATGCAGGAGCATATAGAGCACTTTCTGGAGAAATTAGGGCACTCGAGAAAAAAATAGAAGATTATTATTCCTGGCATAAAAACCTTAAAAAGGAAGTTAATCGACTAGAAAAATATATAGAAAAACGTATAGACTGGTTAAAGGATGACGTAGGCGAATTACTTGCTATGAGGCATTGCAATTGTAGCAAAGAATCCATAAATAGTTCATCTGAGTGTAGTTCATCCGAGTCCAGTTCATCTGAGTCAAGTTCTTCTGAAGAAACTATTACAATAGTGGAGGAATTCGAGGAATCCGATTCAGATTATACACTATGCAAAGGATCTATTGGCCCCAAAAAGAAGATTCACAAAGTGAACTCAGGAAAAGTAATGTGCATGAAGAAAAAATCTGGCAATAAGATGATGAAACCTAAAAGAAATCTGACCGGAGTGGTCATATAAAGTTCCACATATTAATCTTATTTTTTTCTGATTGAAATATCTTCTAACCATATAAAATGCATACAGCTAATTTACTTGATCGCCTTGTACCGGAATTAATCTAAAGAATTTGTCGATACAGGATCTTAAAAAATATTGCAGTATAAATAATATATGGAAAGATGAAGTGATTCGAGAAATTCGCAGAAGATTAATAGTAGATTGTACATTCACTTGTGCTAAAATATCTGTTAAGGCATTGATTGTCTCTAAATCCAAGCATAATAGTATCAGTAAATCTCTTGCTAAAAAAATAGATTTATATATTTCTAGAGAATTTGGTTCAAGATATCCCGCAGTAGTAGAACTTGGCATTAACACAACAAATGCTGGCAAGAAAGTGATGGTAAGAGGGTGGGTTCATAGAGAAAATGTTTCTGTTTCTTTGCCAAATATATTTGATGGGTTAAAACCCCCTTCATATTTGGGAACGGATACAGCAACTTTTGTAGTTGTTGACAAGCCTGAATATGATTTGGTTTTAGGTAATTCATAGCTAACTGGGTTGGGATACGATATTGATAAACGGGATGCAAGATATTGGGAAAATAATGAAGAGAAAAGACTTTATTACGTAAGAAATGATATTGATATACTATCTCCTTCGTTATATACATTCTATGAATTAGTATTTCCTAGTTTTACTGAGATTAATTCGGATGGGGAAGTTATAATAACCAAGTTTAAACGTGAATTCGATGGTCTAAGTGAATATTATGATTCGGATTATACTGAAACAGAATCATCTAACGATTCTTCTGATATTGAAACTGAATCGGGGGATGAAGTTACCTATAATAATAATCTTCCTCCTCCGATGATTATGGACTCACCTGATAGCCCGAATAATTTTATTAGCACATTTAGTGATTTTCTTAAACAGAATGGTGGTGCTAATAATAATTTTATTTCTGCATTTCTCAATCAGGAATTAGCACAATACTCTTTGGCCGAGCAATGGTACTCTACCGATCTAACTAATCCAACACTCTGGAATGGTGAATAGTTATTATGTCGACCCAGAATATAGCTCATCAGTTTTTGTTGATCCACAATGCATATACTCTGGAACACAAAAAATCATGATATTAATTCCGCAATGCATGTACTCTGGTGCACAAAAATCAAGACGCGTTTGATATTAATTCCGCAATCAATGAGTAATTAATCCGTCAACTTTTTTTCCCGAAGGTTCTGGCATAATACACATATTATGAAATGCATCATGCAGATTAACTCGACACTCTTGATGTTAGAATGAGATAAGAATGGAAAATGAGAATCTTGATCTACCGATTTACAGACCCCGATCCTGTGAAATGTAATAGGGAACCAAAGGTACCACCATTCTATATAATAAACCAAAATTCCATCTTTGGACCATTAGTAGATTTGTATAGGGTACGAATAAGAGTTTAAAACAACGTGTGATTTATGTAAGTAAACGTGAGCGATCTTCAAGATCTTGTGCGATCTTAGCAATAAACAGTATATTTCTCGGTGACAACTTATCTTTATTATTAGACAATGTAGTTATGGAAAAGGGTCCTGACAGACCAAGCGACGTAATTCTGATTTCATCAAATTAAATCGGGTTAAATCCCTATTTCAATATGTAGTAAAATAAGCCTATTATTAATAAAAAATATATTATTATTATTCATTACTTGAATTATTTCTTCTAACAAGCTCCAGTTATTATGAGTGAATATGTTTAGAAAGTATAAAAACTCAATATTTTTTACCCTTTCCCGTAAACTACATCTCAAAAAAATAATAATGGAATTGGAAAAATCTAATAACACCCTACTACAGACTCCATTAAATATTGAAAAAGAAATATTTATGCCTCAAGGAGAACCTGAAACGTGTTTATTGTGTAATGAACCCGAACCATTATTTGAACCTAATGGAGCTAACTTGGAACCAATCACGATATTGACCTGTCTTCATAGCTTCCATCTTAGATGTATTATTATCCGTCATCTAAGAACGCGGATATGGAAATAGAAAATCCTACAACTTCAGAAATGGTATTCGTTAAAATACATGACAAAATAGTTCAGGCTGAAAAAATTCTTGAAGAAAAAACACGTGAAGTGTCCTGCGCAGAATATGAAGTTCTCGATTCTTACTATCTTCTCGGGGAAGTATTAGTGAAAAAACTAGCTGAATTTGAAACTAACCACCCTCTTCAAACCGCTCGAACTTTGCTTAATCAAGAAATTAAACGTCAATTTCCCTCCGACATGTCTCGTAACGTCTTTAACAAGAAGAAACGCTCAGCTATGAATATTTACAAGATATTCAGCACGGAAGGTTTAGGAAGAGACAATATCAAGCGAATTAGAAATTTTAAACCATCAACCTTTGGAAGATTTAGCGATAAAATAATGAAGGTCATTCAAGAAAGAGTTAGAACTACTTTTTTTAAATCAAATGGGCTTGAAGATCAATTAGAAAATTTAGATCTAGATGAGGGAAGAGAACCAATGTTAACTGATTAAATATAAACATTGGCCAGTGCTAATGTATATTATTTTTTAACTTTTCACCCTTGCAGTACTATCACATAATATTTCGTGTTATATAACCTGTTTAATAATGTAATATATTTCAGTATTTTACCTGTTACTAAGCCATGCGAGAGTGGTATCATGTGTTTAGTGACATACATATATTTCATCTGATACTGAGCTATGAGAGAACAGTATCATGTGCTTAGTGTAGGGATTGGAACCGTTTAATCATGCTCCATAATTCCGGGCAGAATTATGATTGTCATGGGCCAGAATAATCTTAATGTCGGCCGAATTAAGAAAAATTTTAGGCGGTTCCAATCCCAGTGACGTACATATATTTCACCTGATACTGAGCTATGGGAGAGTAGTATCATGTGTTTAGTGAGCCTTTATTACATATTCAACTTTTCATGACTATGCTACTCGTTTTTCATAAAATATCTGAAACAAAAAATTATTTGTCTCAATCTACATTATTATCGGGAAGATCAAATTTTAGTAGAAATGAAATACGTACAATTTTCGAATAAACATGTACATACTTGAGAAAATCCTTATGAAGCTTATCATTATGCATAATTTGTTTGTTAAATGAACCACAAACACAAGTACAGTACTACTTATTACAGGTTTGTATAGCAGAACCAGTGTAAAGACACATGATAAAAAAATTTAGCCACGTATTTTTTTCTGTCAATATATAACAATGAAAGAATATAGTATACTTACAAATAAAAACAAACAAAATTATATCGAAAAGTGGCATATCTTTAAAGGGTGGAAGCGCGGGTGTAAGGTTTGTGACGAATGCAATCATCATTCACACCTATATTGCAAAACGTGTAAAAAAGTAGCGGATGGAATATATAAGGAATGTGAATGTGAAAATTTTCCGAGAATCTATTATGCCCTTGAATAATGCGTCGCACCTATATGTTAAACATTGACCCAAAGTATTTTTCTAAATCTAGCGCTGTTGTAACGAATTTGCTATGTATTTTTTTATAAGCTATCATGGGCATCTAAAGATGGAAAATTTTGATTTACATATAATTGAGAATTTTTTGTACAGCTATAATCCGTAAAATTTTCACATGCAGGAGGTTTGGTTTATCTGTATCGTAGTACGGGGCGCAAGCAAAGGTGCCATTTATGGACGATACTTAGATACATATTGCAGATAAAATGGAAGGTCATGGAAATACTAAACTAAATCCGGTCGAAAGCTTACATATTTTTCTTGTTTCCCTGCATTGCAATAATCTGCTAATATGGGCGGAGCGCATTCATCGCACGTATCATGAGTTTATTAACCTAATTTTGTATACTGCTGTACTGCAATAACATTCTGTGAATTGGTATGCTTGTGTGATGTTTTAAATAATTTTTGTGCTCAATTTCTGTTTAAGGCTAAATCAAGTGCGACCGGAAATAGATATATAGGAGACATTCTAAAATGGTTTCAGGCTTATCTCACGATGAATAATGCGAGTAATCCTTACACGTTTTTTCGACAAAAAATGTTTCTAGCGAAGAGTGATATCGAATTAATATTAAAGTTGGATTTTTTCTTACTAACGCCATTTTATTCTTCAAAAAATGCCCGAATACGAGGTTGTCGCTGTTGTGGTGGAAGTTGTGGAAGTTGAGTTGTCGCGAGTTGCGAAGGGAAGAAATTTCGAGCTGGAAATAGTTGAGTTATTGAAAAGACTTGGCTTTGAAGTGATTCATGTAGGGTGAGTTCTTTTTCTCATTGAGTGTTTGTCTAATCGTTGTGTATCCGAAAATACGTTCCACATTGATCCAAACGAATTGAAAGCGCGCCGTGGCCGACTGTTTCGACAGTTGAACGTTCTTCTTTTGGCTTTCAATGTTCCCGCAATCGGCTTAGCCCTGGGGAATTAATGGCAAACTAGGATGCATACTTAGTTGAACAAATACTCATATTATTGTTAATATAGTGGTAAGAACGACGGAGGAATCGATATACGCGCGCGTATTCGTGGAATCGATTTTGTATTCCAATGTAAAGATTGGGAAAGACCTACAGGTAATATAATATATTATAAAATATTTTAAAATACTAAAAGATAATGTTTATTAGTTCCCTCAGTCGTTCGAGAGCTAGATGGGGCTCTCACCCAACCCGAGAATAGCGGGGCTATCGGGGTTGTGGTGATCCCTGACAACTCAAGATTCTCACTTAAGACGATCGAAAGGGCGATTACGTCCGTATTTCCTATTATACTAACAGATAAGGCTCATCTTCCTACATACATTCTTAATACAATTCTTGATCGATTACAAGGAGATCCA